TTTTCCTCCATCTGCTAATGTACATGTGATATTACTTTTTTCTTTTATTGGTATATCTAACTCTTTTCTTAATTTCTCCGTTATTACACTTATTGCTGCTCCTGAATCTATTACAACTTCGATTTCCTTATTATTTACTATAAACTGTGTTTTCATTGCCGTCGTAACTTCTTTTTCTCTGATTATTTCAGTCTTTTTTACCTCCGAGTGTAGTCACTCCGTTTTATCTCCTTTTCTTATCATTTTCTTTATCATTCTTCCTTGTTGTTCCACAATATTAAGTAGATTTCCATAATCTACTGGATCTTTTGATTTAACTCCTATAATTTTATCTTCTCTTGGTCTACGTTTTCCTCCTGCTTCTTTCCATCTATTTATTCCTTCCATTGTGTCATAATATTCTCCTCTCTTTTTACTCCATTTATATCTTTTTGGAATATTCGTATTATCTGGTCCTACTGGTCTATCATACATTGGTTACTCATCTCCCACATATTCTTCCATTGGAACTTCTCTTCTATTTCTATATTTATATTCTTCCTTTCCCCTTTCCGCAATTTCTTTATCTAAGTCCAGTTTTCCAAAGACCTTCCATCCTTGCACAGGATTTAATCTATTACTTCTTCTTCTTTCTTGTACTGGGTTGTCTTTTTCATACAAATCACGATTGTAACTATACAATTGCGAATTATCATGTTCGTTATTCTCATGGTCGTAATCATCATCTGATTCTTCGCTTTCGTGGTCATAATCTTCTTCATGGTCTTCCATATTCATTAAATTAACTCTTCTCTCATTTCTCCTAATATTATTTCCTAATGGACATCTAGTCGCAAAATGACCTCTTCTATTACACCTAAAACAAGTTATTTCATCATAATTAATCGGTGCTCTATTATTTCTTCTCTGATTCAATTGGTCTTTATTTCCATTATTATTCAACTCCCTTTCCATATTTCGTACTTGTTTTTCTAATTTGGCAATTCTCATTTTCTCTAATTTTTCCACTAACTTGTCTTCATAATTCTCATTTAATGGTTTATTATATCTGACATTCGTTCCAACATTCCGTTCTTCAATACGTTCTTTTCCAATCTCTGGATAAACTCTATCTGGTATATTTCCTGCTTTTCTAAATAATTCATTTCTTGTTTCTTCTTTCCTTCTTGCTATATTTATTGCATCATTTAAATTTCCTGGGTTCTGTCTTCTAACTTGGTACCCTACTGTTGCTTCTAGTCCTTCAATATAAAAATCTACTTGATATTCTTCAGCTAATGCTTGACTTCTTTTCGCTATTCTTAATACTTGTCTAAATCTTCTCGTATAATCTTCAACACTTTCATTTATTCCTTGTTTAGTTTTTCTCAATTCTAACATTTTTCTTCTTCTAACATCTTCTCTGGTAAATCTTCTTTTAATTCTATGTTTCAAATCATTATCATCATCTGCATCTGCCCAATTCCTTAAATGACCTGCATTCGTTTCTTTCATTTCATTATACCATTGTGCTGCTGCTCCTCTTAAATGTGCTGCTGTATATGCCGCTTGTTTTTCACCATTAGCTCCTGCTGCTTTCCCAATTGCCGTAAATGCTACTTCAAATTGTCTAATCCAATCACTAATATCTTCTTCTTCTTATCCATAAAATAATGGTATATTAATTATTCCTCCAGCTTCATTTCCTGCATTTTCAATCCTATCTACTAAGTGTGCTCCTGCCCCTATTACTGCATCCAAAGTATTAGGTGGATATCCTAAAGCATTCTCAAATATTCTTTTCATTTGATCTGCAGTCGCCATATTCAACAATATATTCTCTTGAAATAAATCCTGTAAGTTGTAGTCGGATAGTTCACTTTCTGTATCAGAATTTTCAATATCAGAATCTTTAATATTCAACGAATTATTCGAATCTGAATTTTGACTTAAGCCAAAACCTTCTGTATTTATAATATTTTCATCATTATTTTCGACTTCGTTTTCATTGAAGTCTTCGGAATTTCCTTCCCAAATCTCGTATTCTTCCGGATCTAATATTTCTCCAATCTTTTCTGAATCATTTGTATCCTTTTCTTCTTCATTGTTTTCCTCTGTCTCTATTTGTTCCTTTAAATATTTATCTAATATTTCTTTTATGACTCCTTCTAATTCATTCTTATTTTCTTGGAATAACTTTATAAACTTCCAATTTAAGATTTCTCCATCTGTATAACCCATATTTATCATTCGTAATATTTCTCCTTCCGTTACTTCAACTTCTGCTCCTTCACATATTTTCTGTATTCTTTTTACTCTTAGTTCTGCTTCACTAACATCATTCTCCTCTCTCTCAGAGCAACTTTTACATATTTCTCCTGTAAATTCTTTATCGTATTTTACTGCTTCTTTCTTTAGTATCATTTTGTTACATAACGGACATTCTGTGGCATTCGTAGTATACCATCTTCTAAGTTCTCCAATTATTTCTTCATCATCTAATTCCTTAATTTTCATATAGCTCTCCATAAAATCCTTAGTTTTCATTATTTCATATTCCACTCCAAAATTTATTATTCGTCTTATTTCTTCAATATCAATTTCATAACCATTTTCTAACCAATAATTTCTATATGTTCTTTCTATATGTTCATCTCCTTCATTCGAACTTAATTCTCCCATATCATCTGAACTTTCTAGTTCTCCTACATCACTATATTCTTCAACAAAACCTTTAGTTTCTACAATTTTCTCTATTATCTTATTTGTTACATCGACATTTATCCATGGTCTTGGGTATTTATTTATATCCCACCATTGATATGTTATACTTTTCTGAAACTTCTTGACTTTCTCCCTACTTTCTTCTTCTACTATATTTTCTTCTAAATGCAATATTTCTTTAAAATATCTCATAGTACCATATCCTTTGTTTTTAATGGTTACTGATTCTATTTCATCTAACCATTCTTCAAATTTTGCAAATCTTATATCTAATTTGTCATCTTCTATAATATATCTATATGTTAACAATTCCCTATTTCCCAATAGATTCTCTTCTGTTCGATCGTCTAATATAAATTCATTATCTTCACTCAATATGTAATGTTCACAGATCACTTTTATCACTGATATAATTCCCATTTTTCTGTAATCTGATTTATTTCTATACCTAATTGACCTTACAACTATATCTAACAGTTTTTCTCCTTCTTTTCTCATTTTCTCAAATTCTTTATCTCTTTTCTTTTTACTAGATGGATAGCTTTCTTCCCCATCCTTTCTTGTTAGTATTATGTACTCCATTAATTTTACATATGTATTTCTGTTATAACTCATTGCTTCTAATATTACTTTTTGAAAAATCTTCCAAAATCTTTTAAACCAATCTCCTATCTCTATTTCATCAGTATTATAACATTTTAGGCATGAAGGATCTACTTGATACTCTTCTCTTGATTCATTATGTTTTTCTATTTCGTGTCTATTTTTAATCTCTTCTAATTCATCATATATATCAGACATTTTAACTTATTTTATTTATTTATTTACTTGTAAAATGATTTCATTTCGTATTTTCAATTCTATTTATATTTTATTCGTATAATTATTCATTTATTACTTCAATCTTTATTTCTTTACATTCTCATGTATATGACTTCTTATTACATTTCTCTATTACATCTTTTATTACATAGTCTTCTATTACTCATAACTTGATATTCTTCTAACTTCATTAATTCCTAATTAGTTTAATGTCTTTCCTGACAATTATTTGTCCCTAAATTCTTATTATTTACATATTTCCTGTGTTTCTATCTTAACCGCTTAATTTCATTACACTTATTACTCTTCTTATAATATCCTTTTATTTCACCCGTTATCTTCTAACGTCTTTTCGTATATTTATTTCTTCCCTTAATATTCATCTTACTCTTCAATTTCTATATTCTGTCTGTTCATAGATTTTCTGATTATTCCTATATGCAGCTATTTTGCATTCTCCCATTCGCAATATATTCATATTTTTATGTTCACATCTTTCTTCATGTTCATTAAGATATTTCATTCCTTTTCGAAAGTATTCTTTACATAACGTTTCTATTTTGTTTCTTAAACTTTCTTCGCTTTCTTTCCTGACTTCAAAATAATTAATTTCTTGTAATGTTACATTCTCTATTTTCTCGCAATATTTACATTTTACTTCACCGTCTATTCTAATAAAACCTTTTCCATTTATATTTTCAAATACCGTTGTTTCCATTTCTCATATTTTATTCAAAATTTCTTATTTATTATTATTTTATTTTGTCATTATTCATTTTCTTTTACTTTTATAATAATTGATTACTCAGCTTCTATTATCACTCGAATATCTATCAATTATTCTAAATTTTAAATTCAACCATTTGATCTCATTTTTATCCCAATCTGCAATACACATTCCTTCATTTTCAAACCATTGTAGCGCATTTCCTAACAAATGTGTCTTCGCAATTTCAAATATTCTTTTGTTGTCTTTAATTCCTATCTTTGACAGATATTTTTCTACTTGATTCGTCCATTCTCTTGGATTTTCTCCTATTACACCATAAAATATTGGTATCTCCATTTTAATGCCTTATTTTATTTTCAACATATAATTACACTTTTATTCTTTTTACAATATAAATTCGTACTTTTTATAACATATTTTAAATATTTTATTTCTTTATTTATTACATGTATTTCTCATACTTCTTCTAATTTCATTTCATTTACTGCGCCCTATCATGTGACTTATAATTTCTTCTATTTTCTTTCATTTTCTTTCTTTATTCCCTCAACACGGAAAAAAAAAACTCTTTCCCCTTTCCATTTTTTCACATAGAAATCCGCAGTTAAATACTGTTTTTTTTTTACACCCTTTTTACGTTTATTAACGCTCGAGAAGAAAGAGGACCACAGGGTGGCCTCTTATGGAAAGGTTCTTCTCCTTATCACCCGCCCTCTGAAAGAAGTTTTTATTACATTTTTTCTTTTTTTTACATGACATATTGAATAATATGGTTTTTACTTTTCATAAACCTATTTCCTTGGGAAAATTTTCTTTCGACGTCTCATTCCATAAATTTCACGTGACTAGACCCAATCGGGCTGGATGTAACAAGATTTATGAAATCAGAAGATCAAAATGTTTCTTTTTCGAGTTAGCTGATCCCCCAGCAAACACCAATGATATTCATCTTAAAATACACACAAATGATTACCACATGAAATCAACCCCTATTAGCTACTCTTCCACCTGTAGCTTTCCTAATCTGAAATATCAGATTAGTAAGATGTTACAACATTTTTTTTCTCATCAAAAAGTCATCCCACGTTCTATTCAAAAGAAATATTTTAATTTTATTCGTTTCAGATTGCTCGATAGATATTTTCTTATCAAATCACGTGCTGACAATGTCACACAAAGAAATTCTCGAACAAAAACTTTTTTTAACTTTTCTTATAAACGTTACTGTTTTCATTTTGGTATTTTTACACCATGTAATTTTCACATCACTTACAATTTTAACATTAAACACACACAGGTGTGTCATGTTCCCTCTCCTTACATCATGTCTTATAATAGACGAGCTTGTGTCTCTCATCGAAAAAATTTAGATCTTTTTCATAATATTAAAAAACCCACCCCGATATCAAAAGATACCGTTAATAATAAACAATTTCATGCAACTCATACATATAACCAATGGCATAATTATAACAAAAAACACATTTACTCAAATCGTCTTGGAATTTCCTACGATGTTTCATATTTAGCCAATGGATACAAATACCTTCACATGTACAAGGACCGTCGTATGTATCGTAAACGATTGGACAATTTCTGCTCACACCACTCCGATAGTAGTAAAAGGAGTATAAAACAAAAATCCCGCTTTCAGCGGGCATGTAGATCCATTTTCTACAATCGTGGTAATAATAAAAAATCTCATCACAGTGTGGATAATCTTGAAGATAAACTTCACCGTGCTAGACAACACCGATTCCTATTTTTACCTTCACAACATATTAATAAACCTATACAACATTTAAAATATCACAAGAGACTAGTGCTCAGAGATGAAATATACTATAATTTTCCTATACCTCCTGAATCACTCGGGACTCGAGCTGCAGTAGTTACCTCAGCCAAATTTGACCCACCCCTCGACTATGCCCAGGGAATGATTCGATTAGCACATCAGATACTCACTCATCTACCATCAATTCACAATCCATTCTTTCTAAAGACGAGAATACTTGGCATGACAAGTTGGGCATTTGGATTCCTAACGACCTCTTCCCTTACGTAACCGATGAACCTGTTTATATATCTAAAAGACAGGCAAAACTCAAAGGTCAACAATACGCACCAGGAAGTATGGACTGGTTAAAAGGTATTAGAAAACGTAAAGAAGCTCACGAATTAGCTATGCGACAACAAAATGATCGAGATGCAAGCGAAGCTGCACGTCTTCTTTATGAAGAAGAACTTTCTACTAGAGCTAAACTCTGGGGTACCTCTTCCAACAGTATAGAATACCGTGAAGAAATGACCAAAGATCTCACTAATTTTCAAGAACATTTTCACAAAAAAATCACCACTTTAACTGATCGTCGAACAGTTCTACAAAACAGAATTAAACAGGGAAAATCTGTTTATAAATCTAACAAACAATTGCTCCAACTAGAACAGGAATTAGGTCTTTTCAAAATCGACTATTTTTCAGTCATGGACGATAACGCATACCATTATCGTTATAAAGGACACACATCAGATGACACAAAAAAACTTGAATTCAGACCACATAAACGCCCTCCCACTTCGTCTACAAATACAGACAGGCACGTCACTCACATCAAGAAATTGAGATCAGATACACTGCCTACAGAAGACTTTAAAGTCTTCACTTCACCATAACTCGTTCTTGATACACCTATCAGCTTATTCCTCATTTTAGTGGCATGCTGATAGTAATAGACTTACACTAATTTTAGCCACATTTTTACTTTTGACTAGTATTTTATTACATCTTTTTTTAGGGTAACCCCCACGTACAATTTTTTACACCAAAGTACAACAATTAGAATAGTGTGAACCATTCCACCTATGACAGTATTTACAGGTGGCGGTCTTAAATGACTGAAAGAAAAATACGGATCTTCTCTTTTTTCCTTAGTTTAGATTGCCTTTCTCTAGTATATAGTGGTGCGATCTCGCTTCGGTGAGTCCCCATCGGTTCTTGTATCCATACCAGAGTGGCACCGCCTACGGGAGGTTTGATTATAGCGTAGTATTAGATAGCGTTCGACTTTTGTTTTATCTTTAGTTCTTGTCTATCTTTCTGTAATCTAGTTCACATGGGTATTAAAAATAAAAATAAAAATTATTCCCTCAACACGTGATTTGTGTTACTCCAAAAATTATAAATACACCCCCTTTTCCTTTTAAATTTCAATTTTTCGCATTTTATTTTTATTCCACCGCATTAAGGTATGTATTATTTTATTGTTTTCATCACTTTACTGCGCTTTGTGTAACCTACTTTTTATGATTCATATGATTTGTACTACTCATGTGATTTGTACCACTCACGTGACTTCTTATATAATATTCTTATGTAATCTCCTCAGCTCTGGGAAGGTCTATATTCTCATATACTAACTTTATTTCTCTGAAAATAATCTAAGCCCTATAAAAAAAGAAAATTCAGAATTTGTCCTGAAAAGTATGGAAAATGTCCGGAAATTTTCCATGCGTCCGGAAAACATTCGGAAACGGTCATGTTTTGGAACATTTTCCGGACGCTCGATTCTGGACAAATTCTGGACAAATTCTGGAGTGTCAAGAAAATGTCTGGAATTTGTGCGTCCGGAAAATGTTCCAAAACGTGACCGTTTCCGAATGTTTTCCGGACGCACGGAAAATTTTCGGACATTTTCCATACTTTTCAGGACAAATTCCGAATTTTCTTTTTTTATAGGGAAGTCCACAATCTCCACAGGTCGAAATGCTAAAAATCGGCAAAAAAAATGGCGCGAAAAGCAGTGGCTATTCTTGGCTATTCTTGGCTGTTTTTGGCTATTTACGAATTAACCTATACTATTTGTAAATAGTTTATACAAATTTGCGAATAGTTTATGCGATTTGCGCCATTTTTTTTGCTTATTTTTGGTCATTTGACGTGTGCTCCTCAGACCGGGGAGGTCTATATGTATTTTACTGCGTCCTGAAATTTATTCAAGTGCCAGACACATCTGGTACCTACTGCGCATTTACACAATTTACTTTACAACATTTATTTTATTTATTAAATTCTTTTAACAACATCATTTTCTTTATTTCATTTTATAATTCATTAATATTTTCTTATTATAATTGGATAGCCACGGATTTTTAAGCGATCAACGTACTAAAATTTCTGTTGACAAACGCCCCTGGTGACACAACTATTTCTTTACTATTCTCTTATTTATTTATTATTTTTATTAATCAGTCGCCCCTGCCCAAGGGGCAGCTATATATTTCTTACATTACTATTATCATTCTCTTACTTGACCAGCAAGTTCCTTCAAAAATAAATTAATATAAGGGTTTAACACCACTTTACTCACAACGTACAATAATAATAATGGGGTTTCTTACAGTTTAACCCGCAACTTACAATCTAGAGGGTTTATTACAGCTTAACCTACAACTTACAATCTTATAGTGTTTTAAAGGTTTCCACATAACCACTAGTGTTTTTCTTGCAAGGTTCCCACGCAACCTCTTGGGTTTATAGTTCACCCGCAACTTTTGCATTATTTCTTTTATTAGATTTACTTTCTTGCCGTGAAATCTTGATACGGTCTTATTTTCTTCTATAGTCAATTATTATGACTAACTTAACTCCAATAACTCTTATAGAATTATCTCCTTTTACTTTCAATAACCTATACTAGGCTTACCTCTACCTTCACATCAAAGTATGGTAGTTTCTAGGTTTGTCATTAACAACTTTTTATTTCTTATTTATCAGGTTTATACATCGTTTAGTGTGTTTTTCTTTCATTTCATGTTAGTCCTTTTTCATACTAACATACATTTCTTTACTTTTTATAATAAACTTCATAATTTCCTGATAAATCTCCTAATCACAAGCAACACATGCTTTGATTATCCTTCATTACTTGTACTTCTTTTATTTCTCATTGTACACTTAATAACTTTTTTCTTTTTATACTTAAGTCCAGATCCTCTAGGAATACCACGCAGGTACCTAACTATATGAAGATAGTCAGAATGATCATATTTCATTTCCTTTAATCATTATTGATCATTTCCTTTCTCGGAAGCATTGCACCAAAATTGTCACCCACGTCTGCCACCCGTGAGTAAACACAATCTCTTATTTCACTTTATTTTTCGTTATTTCGCTTGGTTTAGATTTCTATTTTTCTCTTAACTTCTCGCTTTCTCTCTCATATATTCGTAATATCTCTTCTTTCAGATACTACCTCTCATTCATAATATTCCCAAAATATTATTCTTTATGTAATATTTATTCTTTTAAATATTACCACTTTACTTCTTATAAACTGCGAGAGTTCTCCTAACTTCTTATTATATTTCATACAATGAAATGAGAATAACTCCCTTTTCATTACTTTTCTGGACTTAATATTATAATATTAATTAATTCTCAAGCATACAATGAGCATATTCAAGATAACTTTTAATAATTAATATTTATTTTATTAATTTTGAGTCAAAAACTGACTGTGGAATTCCTAACGAATCCCACCTATATTTATACATTTTTAAGAAAATTATTTCTACTATTTCTAACTTTTCTACTAATAAAAATTTAAGAACAATAAGAAAATAAAGATGTATTATCATATGACTATCTCGTGACTAAACTAAACTAAACTATAAATATTATTTTATCTGTTAATTATTTATCCTTCGGCTAATTATTTATCCATCAGTTAATTATTTATCCTTGTTCCATTCGGTCTTTTATTCATCCGCTCACGTGATTATCCTGATTTCTCGGGTTACACCATTCTTCTCTTTTTTTTATAGGTTTGGGTGGATTACTAAAGAACAATCAAAGATTCGTATATACGAATACATGAATCATGTAATTGTGGAATTGTATTTGAATTAGCAATATTTTTTGTAAATTAGATAGATGCAATAATAATAATATGATTATAAAGTATTTAAGCATTAATAAATACATTTATTTAATAAATTTGATAAAAAAAATCAAAATAAATTCATAAATAAATGGGTTGTTATTAGACCATAATTCGGCTTAAAGTTTTAATGTCGAATATTGGTCAATTTAAGCCTGAATAATGGTCGAATAATTTGTCCGAATTTGGGATGATTGGCACCCAAAATTCGACCTCAATTTGACACAGATTAAATCATCATTCGGCCTATATTCGACCTGGTCAAATTTAGGTTGAATTGTCCTTTTTCAACTAATGTATAGCAAAATTATTTCACAAAATCCTTCTTTTAGGATCTATTTTAGCAATAAGAAAACTAAGGCTCTACAAGGAAATGAAATGTATTATGAAATGTAATAAGAAGGAAAATTGGAATCATTTATTTGAATGTCAGGCATATGAGGTGGCTTGGGAAAAAATATTGGAGATTACAACAAAAGAATCTATAATTATATATTTGAAACAAAAACAAATCAGAGGTCAAGGTGAAGATTTTATTAGAAAAGTATTACAAAACATACTAGGAGTTACAGCAAAATCAGAAAAATTTCAAAAGTTTCAACAGCTGGCATTGGAAGTGAAAGTCGAAACTTTTTTAACAACAAAATTACAAAAAGACTTTAAGATATCTCTTACTGAGGCACAAACACTTATGGCTAATATTTTAATTGGATTTATTTTAGCATTTAAAGAATTAATATGAAAACCAAGATGTGAACAAGTTATTTTATGAGAAAAAAGAAGAGGCATTTCTAGAACAGATAAAATTACTTCAGAATCCAAGGGAAAGGACAATTCAAATCAACCTTCAGAATCCAATGTAAAGGACAATGCAAATAAACTTTCAAATAAAGTTAAAGATATACAAACAGGAAAAATAGATCGATTACAAAGGTCAGTCTCCTTAGTAAAGAAATCAATGGATACCTTTGTAAGGAAATACATATGTGAGGATTGGATTCCAATAAAAAAGAAAGTTGATAAGGTTACATTATACATGAGCAAAAAATTACTGGATTGATAGTTCCAAAATAATATTTTTATTCTGTTCTCAATTATATTTATAATTTTAGACATATATTTTATTATTAATTTATTTTTAATTTTTATTNGGCATTAAAGGAGGTTTTGAATGCCGTTTTTAATCTACTAATATGACCCTGTCTCTTATACACATCTAGATGTGTATAAGAGACAGCTTTTATTCTTAATTCTATTGGTAATATAATATCTAATGTTTGATCGGACTGGCCTGGAGCTGGAAGTATCATTCATAGAATATTTGTGATTATTATGTAATCCAAATATATTCTAATAAAATGGTACATGATTCAACATTTAAAAAAAAAAAATAAAATAAAATAAATAAATATATTAAAGTTTAAAGATTAGAAGGAGTGTTTGGAATAATTATTTTTCTATAAATATTATAAATTCATATATTTGAAACCAGTATTATAATGCTTCACTTTCAAATAGTAATTTATCACTTGATATCTATACGCCAATACTGCAAACTAGAGGTCTACATTGACCACTATTTTACAACTTGGCCTAACCTGCACTTGGAAATTAACATAAAGTACCCAGCCCAGTCTGGCCCAGACTTAAAATATCAAAAACCTGGTCCAGACCGGCCGGACCTGGACTTTTATTATATTATTTTGTTGTAAAAACAAAAAAATTGGCCAACTTAATTTTGGCCAGTTTAATTTTGGCCAGAATTAAGACGATTTTGGCCAGAATTACAAAAATCTGGGTTTGCCGAAAATTCATGTGCTGGCCCAGACCCGGTTTTGAAAAAAATTTGCCAGCCTAAACACGGATCTGAGCCCAAGCTGGGTTAGGGTTTCCAGGTTCTGAGTCCCATTTACAGACCTTTACTGCAAGTATTACTGCTACAGTGAACTTTTTTAAATTAGTATATGGAACTAAACTGAATAAGTCTGATTGAAGTTTAGATATTTCTTTAATAACCAAAAATCAAGTATATCTTTACTAAGTCCAGTTTGATGATCTTTCTGAGTTCAGTCATATTAATTTTTAGCACAGTCATATGAATTTTGATGCAGACTGAATTTAAACTTTAATTGGACTTTACTACCATCAAACTGAGTTAACTTTTCTGAGTGCTATGATTTTGATTGATTTGACTGAACTAAATTACTAAATTTACATAACCGATCTACATTTTAATTTTTTTTCTTGTAATTAATAATTAGTTATAGATTTAAATAAATATTTTATACAATAAAATGCAAAAATTAAAGTAACAATGTTTGCATCTTAATTTTATTGAAACAAGAGAATCCTAACAATTTATATGAATATATTTTGCATTAGCTTATTACAAAACTATTATTCCATTAAATATTTAAATTAGTAAAAATAATTTTTTTTAACTCTCATTATAAAGCGAATAGCAAAAAAAAATCATGTAGATCAAGCTTTATAATCAATTAGACCCAAGTAATTTTAAGCAAATAACTGGACCGCATGGTCCAATAATCCAGACTAAAATTCACATGACTGTGTTATAAATTAACATGACTGGACAGTAGGACAAACTTGGGGGTTCTGGAACAGCAGCTATCACATAGGTATAACCATAATTTAGGGTATCTCCAGACCATCTTGCCTTGTTTTCTGATATGATAATACTATACCTGTTTTTCTATCACCAGACCACCTTACCTTGATTCCTGATATGTTATTACTTGATAGCTATAAAGAACCCCCCAAGCATTGTAGATAAGATTAAAATCATATATTTCTAGGCATTATTACCACACATGAATCCATTCCAGAGTATCATAATTTTATGCTATATCAGATTAGAGGTGCGTTCCAGATGAATCTAGTCAATCCATCATCCAGATGATCACGTAACAGATAATCTGAATTAAAAAAATTGGATCATTGGATTATTTGCAGATTTACTAGATTGATTATAATTCCAGCCAGAATTAAGTAATTGGCATGGAATTATCCTTTTTAGGGTATGAGTAACATTACACAAATCCAAAAAAAGGCAATTTTATTTCCCAGCAAAAATGAAATTTTGGATTTCACAAGAATCCTAAAAAGGAAATTTTAACTGATCATTTAATTCAGCCAGAATTTATGATTAGGTATTTAATTGTTATCACGTAACACACGGATAGTATATCGATCATTTCTATTTATGGTAATTAGGATGGCAACGGTCAGTCATGGTCGGTCATCAGTCGGTCATAACCAGTCAAGAACCTTTGACCGACTGACCGACCGTTTGACCGACCGTTTGACCGATCATTTTTTTTTATATTTTCGCAGTGTTTTTATTAAGACAATTGAAAAAATGTGCGAAAACGTTTATTTTTTATTAAATTATTAATAAAAAATGTTTTCGCAATGTTTTTTGTTAAAATAATTAAAAACGTTTGCGAAAAACATTTTTTTTTAGAAAATTTCTAAGTTTACACAAGGTGTTTGTACACAGGTCATATAAATATAATTTTTAATATACTAATTTTTTGTTTTTTAATTTGAAATTGAATTCTACCGACATTATACTCTTTTACTTTTTATTCTTATTATATTACAGATAAATATATGCATTTTCACCTGCTCTGCAAGTTTACTTAAGGCATTAAAGGAGGTTTTGAATGCCATTTTTAATCTACTAATATGACCCGTGTTTAAACACCCTGTGTACAAATAGAAATTGCCTTTTTTTTAATTAAATTATTAATAAAAAACATTTTTGTGACGTTTTTTATTAAATTTTTCATAAAAAAATTTGGTTGGTCAAACGGTCAGTTAAACGGTCAGTCAAACAGTCAGTCAGAAGTCTTGACTGACCGATATCGGTCATGGTCATAACTGGTCATAATCGGTTAATGACTGTGACCGTTGCCATCCCTAATGGTAATACCCATTTCACAAAAAACCAGTTTTTCTAAATTTAGTTTCTAGTCGTATAATATAAAATTTCCTAAAAAGGAAATTTTTTTGTCAATTCCATATAGGATTGATCAGATATCTGGTCATCCATCTGGACTATTTAACAGATTCATCTGATCAATCTGAATTTGCCTATTTGATAAATTGATCCTAGGATGACCAGATTGACCAAATTCAGAACCTACTGCTATATCAGATTGCCTTTATAAGTGCCAAAGGTATGAAGGACACAAAGTGTCTGTAATACTGATGACACGATTCAGCAATTCATTGTGGCATACTATTTTTATGATACTCTAAAAGGGATTCATTTAATGATTTAAGCCATTTATGCTCTAACCAAAAAATTTTTAACAGGAAAGCAACTAGATATGTTTTAAAGCTTTCCTGCTATATGAAAAAATCTGGGACAACAGGTCTAACCAAAAGTCTAATCAAAAATCTGATCCAGGTCTAACCAAAAAATGTATAGCAGGTAGTCAACTAGATATGTTTTAAAGCTTTCCCTACTATATGAAAAAATCTGGAATAATGAAATCTAACCAAAATTTAATCTTAATCATAAATTGCTCTGATTCTTTAATGAAGCCTATTTTCATACTGATTTTGATAGTAATTCCCAATATAAGATTGATATCGATCACTAGATGAACCTGTAGGTTTACCACATACAGTATAAGGAAAGTGTGATTTTGTCTTCCAATAAATGCAACAACCTTCTGGCTTCATATAAGAATGACCACAATATAGGAAATATTTTAGAATTTATTAATTGAAAAAAAAAATTTTTAGGTTATTAATATGTATCTAGTATGGTAACAAGTAATCAAATTTGTGATAGATGTGAAAAAGCTTTTGCAACTCCACAAAAGCTTCGTAAGCATCAAAATAGAAAGTTTTAATGCAAGCCAACAGTTAAATCTTAGAATCCCACACCTGAGATTGAGCCATCACAACCACAACTGGAGCAACTTCAAGATTCCACACCAGTGGTTATTCAAGTTCCTGCAGAGAAAACTCCTAATTTACCAATTGATGAACTAGCAAAATAGTTAGCAGGATCTGGTAATTACAATCATTATATTTTACGAAAAAGAAGTGCTTCACAAATAGATAATAAATGGTTTGCTGATATGCAAAAAATTATAGAGAAAGATGGTGTAATATTCAATTTGTAAAAAGAGATCATAATCCTGCATGCCCACATAAATCTCTAAAATATAAGACAGTATGGCAAGCTGATTTTAAACCAAATGTTAGAGATATACCATATTTCCCAAGTATAATAGCTGATACTAGGGATGGCAACGGTCAGTTACAGTTAGTTATTGGTCAGTCATAACCGGTTAAGGGCCTTTGACCAACCAACCATTTTGGCTGACCATTTTTCTGACCATTTAACTGACTGTTTAACCATTTTTTTTAATGAATTAATTAAGAAAAAATGTTAAAGTGTTTTTTTTTGATTAAATCCACTAAAGAAATGTTATAACTACTTTTTTTATTGATTAAGTTCGTAAAAAAAGTGTTAAATAATTAAATGGTCAGTTAATGGTTGGTTAAATGGTCAGTTAAACGGTCAGTCAGAAGCCTTTGACCAACTAATATCGGTCACTGTCATAACTGGTTATAACCAGTTAATAACCGTGACCATTGCCATCCCTAGCTGATACCAGTCAGAAAATAATAAAAATTCTTGAGAGTGAACTTGAAGAAAAGGGGCAAATTAAATCAGTTATCACTATATTGGCTACATAT